GTGTGTGTGTGTGTGTGTGTGTGTGTGTGTGTGTGTGTGTGTGTGTGAGGCAAAGTGAATAGAGTAGGACAGTCCGGGTTAGTTATTCTGTTTTGTTGTGAGGATCTCTGGTGTGTCAACCCAGTGTGAGCGCTGTGTGAATGGTGAGTAGTAAACTGGTGTTGGTGCTGCCGGTCTGAGGTGTAACTCTCTGCTGTGTTTTAAGTTTGTAGTCCTGAGAGCTGCATTTAAAACTCTTTTTGCATTTAGTTTGCTATTTGTGGTGCAAGGCGTCTTTTTGTTCAGACGCTCCGGAATTGAAAGCAAAGTGTCAATTGAAAAAACATTATTTTAAAAAGAAGTATTGGATCTGTTTGTTTTTTTTTAAATGTATTATAATAGTAAAACAAAAAGTGAAATGATAATTGTAATTGATGCTTTTTTTGACATTTTAATAAAATTTAAAAAAAAGATATTATAATTTTTTTAGATTAGTGTAATTAAAGCAAAGAAAATTCAACAATTTTTTTTTTAGTTGATAAAAGAACAAAAATGTCATTTAAAATGAGCTGCTATTTAATCATAATCATTTTATCAGATTATTTATTTTTTTCTTCTTTCAGTTAAATCTATAACTCTGTAAAATTACTTGAAAGCATGTGCTGCCTTTTCCCCCTCCTGTCGGCTGGAGTAGAGGAGACTAATTTAGAAGTTGCAGATTTGAGCTGCCTGAATTGGCTAGACAGCTGTAATCGCACTCCCTCCTAGTCTTAATCTCTTTATCTGGCTAGCAGCTGCCATATGGCCCCCGTCAGCTGGATCAGATGTGGGTAAGCCTCCCTCCCCGGCCGTCCCAGCCTCTCTCTCTCCCTCACCCTCTCCCTCCCTGCCCCTCCGTGTGTGTCTCTGTCAGACCCCTGCCTGAGCTCACTGGCCGGGCGGCGGGCTGCTGCCCTCCTGAGCCTCCACCACCACCGTCTTTATTTTTAGCCATCTTTAAGGATTAGGATTGATGCTGTGACGAGCAGGGCACTTACAGTGATTGTATTGTAAATCTTCTCTTCGGGGGGGGGGGGGGGGGGGGGGGGGGGGGGGGCAGTTCCTACTATGGGGCGGATGTGCGGGGCTTTTTCTTTTCCTTGTAAGATTCAGATGGGAAGGAGTGTGTGAGTGACGGACGGTGTGTGGAAGGAGGAGGCGGTGGTCCGAGGGGTTTGGCCGGACAGAGGGAGGGAGGGGGGGGTGTATGAGGTGGGAGGTGGTACACCCTTGTCCCCGTAAACCCCCTCATTTAAAGCAGTCTGAACAAGCCGGAGGGCGAACACACACACACACACACACACTCACGCGGTGACATTCTTGGTTTAGCTTCATTCAAATGAGGTGATTTAGCTGCTTTGGTTAACACCGTGCAGAGCGGGACCGATGTCTTTTCTCAGACAGGACAAATCGACTTGGTTAACAGGTGGGACTTAATGATTTTACAGATCTCAGTCTCGTTATCGCCTTCTGTCATCCCAGATTTAGTTGCTCATTTATTTTATCAACTAGATACATTTTACCAACTCTCTTTTTTTGTTTTGAGGAGCATTGCTGCAAGTTTTCATTTTTTCCGTCTTGCACCTAAAGCCGCTGCTCGCAGGTTAAACCGGGGACAAGCTGTTTTGTTTTCTATTGGCCAGTTTTCCTGCTCGACTTAGCCTGTGGAGGTGGTTGGTAGGTAGGCTGGTACTAAGTGTGTGTGTGCGTGTGTGTGCGTGTGCGTGTGCGCGTGCGTGAGGACAGTGTGTGCAGCTGAAAGCCGGTTACCTAAAAGGGCTGTGCCAGGCCAGGCCAAAGTGGGTTAATAAAAATAACCAGCGTAGGAGCAGCGACAATCCAGGAGTGCAGGCAGAGGAGTTAGAGAGAAACGGAGAGAGCGGAGAGACGTAGAGTAGAAGAAGCTGTCGCTGCTGGTTTACCTGAGATTAAGTCTGTCTGTGGGTACTGAATCAGTGATTATTTTTAATTACTGTTGTCCTTTTTAATTGTAATTCTCATCAGTCTTTCCCCCTTTTGTTTTCATTTATTGTAGATAATTATAGAAATATCATCAACATTTGGCATCGTTTACAACTATCTGCGTGTGTTTTTAAAATTTAAACAGAAATATTTGTGTTGATGCTGCTTAGTGAGTAAGAAATATCATGGCTGTGCATAGGTTAATATCTAGTATTCATAAAATATACAAACACATTCTAAATATACGTGGTATATTTGCGTTTTTTGTTGTATTTTAATTGACTTTTTATGTGATAAATGTTTTTGTGTTAATGTTTGCATTGTTATGACAAAAATCTAAATGGTGATGAGAAGAGTGTCATGATCTCTTAACTTTCATTTGATCTTCTCACATAATTCATTTAAAAATGCTAATAAGTTTGTCACCTTGCTTTTATTATTTAACGTGTTTGTCTTCACATCTAAATTGTCTTTTGTAGGTTTTACTTCTCCGTTTACATTTCGTGGTTCCTTTTTTTCTCGAGTGTTTATCTTCACTGAATAAACAAATGTTTTATTTAAAATAGAACCCAGTTAAAATCTGGCAGGCTTCTATGTCATGTCTGCCATCACAGATCTTGTTCAGGTGTGTCTAACTTTGCCTCTGCCTCTGTGTCTCTGTAGGTTATGAGGACGGCAAGATGGAGTTCCCAGACCACAGCAGACATTTACTCCAGTGTCTGAGCGAGCAGCGGCATCAGGGCTTCCTGTGTGACTCCACGGTGCTGGTGGGCGATGCCCAGTTTCGGGCCCACCGTGCCGTGTTGGCCTCCTGCAGCATGTACTTTCACCTCTTCTACAAGGACCAGCTGGACAAGAGAGACGTGGTGCACCTCAACAACGACATTGTCACGGCCCCGGCCTTTTCCCTGCTCCTGGAGTTCATGTACGAGGGCAAGCTGCAGTTCCAGGACCTTCCCGTGGAGGACGTGCTGGCAGCGGCCAGCTACTTGCACATGTATGACATTGTCAAGGTGTGTAAGAAACGTTTGAAGCAGAAGGGCACGACGGAGGCCGACAGCACGCGCAGAGAAGAGGACGGCGGGACAAGCTGCTCCGATAAGGCCGACAGTCTATCAGATGGCTCCACGGGCCGGCCCGCTACCGCAGACCTGCTGCACAGCGATGAAGAGGAGGAGGGGAAGGCCGAGGGAAGACAACTGTGGCTGAGGCTGCCGTCTGCGGACAGACCAGGGACTCCAGCCGTGGCTAGAACCAGCCCAGGGAACGGCGAGGCGGAGATGCCGGGTGGGGAAGGTCCAGCGGAGGGAGGAAAGCTGCTCTCCCCGGCCGGCAGCCCCACCAGCTCCACCGGGTCCCTCTCGCAGAGGTCCCATCGCTCCGTGAGCTCTCGCGGAGGGCCCAGGGGCAGGAGGGTGTCGAACGACGCTACCGACTGCGTCCTGGACCTGTCAGTCAAGCCAACCGCCGGCAGCAACCACAGTAACCACCACCAGTCCTATTTCGGAGGAGCGGCCACACCGGACAGCCTCCAGAGCCCGTTGGCGGTGAGGGTGAAGGTGGAGAGGGGCGTGGCTTCAGATGAGGACGAGGAACTGGGAGGTGGGGACTACGACATGGAGCACAGCGGCATCACCAAGGCGACGGTTCCCAGCGTCAACGGGGGCCTGACCCACCACAGGGTCGGAGGGCCCCTGTCGGCCCAGCGGAGGCTCGGCCTGGAGGCGCACCTGTCCGCTCTGCGAGAGGCCTCTCTGGCCTCGGAGCTGGAGCGGGAGGACAAGCCTTCAGCCACGGCGGACGACGAGGACATCCTGGGGGGCGACAACGGGCGCGCCCAGGCCGAGGTGGCCGGCATGGATAGCTCCCTGTTGCCCTACGTCTCCAACATGCTGTCGGCTCAACACACCCAGATCTTCATGTGCCCGCTGTGCAACAAGGTGTTCCCGTCGCCGCACATCCTCCAGCTTCACCTCAGCTCCCACTTCAGGGAGCAGGAGGGCATCCGCTCCAAGCCCGCCGGAGACGTCAACGTGCCCACTTGCACCATCTGCAGCAAGACCTTCTCCTGCATGTACACGCTGAAGCGCCACGAGCGGACACACTCCGGCGAGAAACCCTACACCTGCACCACCTGCGGCAAGAGCTTCCAATACTCGCACAACCTCAGCCGCCACGCAGTGGTGCACACGCGCGAGAAGCCGCACGCTTGCAAGTGGTGCGAGCGGCGCTTCACGCAGTCCGGGGACCTCTACCGACACATCCGCAAGTTCCATTGCGAACTGGTCAACTCGCTGTCAGTGAAGAGCGAACCGCTGGCGCTGCCCAATGTCAGGGATTGGGCGATCGAGGACAGCTCCCAGGAACTGTGGAAGTAGAAAACAGACTGCTGTGTTTGACGGAGGGGAAGAGAGCGGAGAGTGAAAGAAGGGCAGTGAAGCATGGGGGGGGGGGGGGGAGGAGGCGGCATAAGTTTGATATTTGGGGTTCAAGTGAGTCATGTTCTTGTGTGTCGCAAAATCTCATTCAATTGCACTTTAATAGCACATGAAAATGTTACTACTGAGTTTTTTTTTTTTTGTTTTTTTTTTGTTGTTGCTGTTTGGGGTAATTTTGTCATATTCTATTTTATTCTGAACTCTTTTATTTTTCTTTGGCATAAGTTCTGTTTGGTGGTTTTGATTGCGTCTTACGGACGTGGGTCCCAGTGAGAATGTCTCGCCTTCTTGAAGAGTTTTCACTCTTGTTTGTGTTTTCATCTCAGACACGTCACTCTGACGCTGGCCAGCGTCTCGGTCCCAGTTCCACAGACAGCAAAACAACCGGTGCAGGAGTTCAGGTCGAACACACTGAAGTGAAAAAAAAAAAAAGCATTACAATACACTAAACGGGTACTGTGATCACCTCACACACACAAGTTTGAAGAAGTGTGTGTGCGCGTGCGTGCGTGTGTGTGCGTGCGCATGTGTGTGTGTGTGTGTGATACTGCACTACTCTGGCAAAAATTTCACCTGATGTGCGTGAGTGTGTGCGAGTGTGTTTTTGTGTGTGTTTTATTTCATTTCTGACTGGCGTAGAGGTGTCGTTGGCGAAGCGCTCCCCGCTTCACTTGTTAAGCTCTTTGGTGTTGTGTGTTCAGGGTCAAGCTGACTGACTGACAGACTAACTGATGGCACTCATGCAATGCACAGCCTCCTTTTTTTCACTTCCAATCGATTTGAAGTATTTTCTAAAAATGAAAAAGACCTTTACAAATTATTATAATAATTATTATTGTTATGAATAGATTTCTTTCTTAAATCTAGCTGACAGTCTTTAAAGCATCTCTTGTTGAAAAGGTATTTAATTTAAGGTTGTTGTATATTGTTCTGCTATAGTTTTAGAACTTAAATCTCTTTAATTTTTTTTTTTTTTTTAAATTAATGATTAATATTATTATTTTTTTTATTACTTTTTTTGTAATGGGACCTGCTGTTGTTGCATGACGTCCAAACCTGTATATTTTAAAATAAAAAATGTGAATTTGCTGTATTACTGTACACATTGTAATTGATCAAATATTTGACAACAGGCTTTCCTTTTCTTTTCTTTTCTTTGTGAATACTACTCCAGGGTGCGGTCTGTTGAAAAACTGAATATTATTCTCACGACTATGGAAAAAAAAATGCATGAACATTTGATTTTGTCTTAAACCTTTTAAGTTGTGTTTTTTTTCATCAGGGGAGGGGGGGGGTGTTAACACTTTTGACAGTGAAAAGTTTTTTTTTCTACTCGTCGTAGATCTGTCGCTGGGCTTCTAGAAGAATGTTACCGAATGTGTTTCCGTCGGATGTTGAAGCGATACGATGAAGTGTGTGTGTGTGTGTGTGTGTGTGCGTGTGTGTGTGCGCGCTGATCTCTCTGCTGCGTGTGTTTGTGAGCGTGTGGCTCGGTTACCACCAGTCAATTTAACCTAACTGAAGATCTACGTCCACCCAGCACTTCCTCCTCCGGCTCCTCCTCAGGCGTTCAATTTTCTCCACCGCTGTGTGTTTGTTTTCCACCCCTCTCTCTCTCTCTCTCTCTCTTGCTCTCCGTCCTCTCCGGCTCTAGACGTGGTGAAGCCATTTTCTTAATTATTTCTGCTCATTGGGCACTTACTTCAGGTCTGTTGAGTGCAGTTATGTGGCTCTGACTTTGCTAAAGCGTGAAGAATAACAGGGAGAGAGAAAAAGGAAAAGGCTGAATATGAGCTGTCCTGCTGAAAGTTGAAGGGTCAGATATCTTTGTCACGAGCTGAGCGGTGCCGTGCTGATTCAGTACAATAACACACATCAGACGCAGTGGTGTGAATGTGATAAGACGTGTGTGTGTGTGTGTGTGTGTGTGTGTGTGTGTGTGTGTGTGTGTG